GTCTTTATTTAGTATATAATTATAATAATATTATTATTATATTTTGTTTCTCTTTTTTTTTTTTTTTTTTTTTTTTTTTTTTTTTTTTTTTTTTTTTTTTTTTTTTGCGCTCTCCGTCGGTTTGAGTTTTCTTCTCTTCTTCCAAACCCGGCGTCAAATTTCATTCAAAATTTTTAATTTAGTACATATTAAATAATAGTTTTGGCTCTATCTTTGCTAATAATGTTGAGCATGAAAATACGATACCAATCAATTCATCGCCCCGATCCGGAAGGCGAGCAATTGATTAGTCGATCAATTTGAATTGATTTCTCAATCGTCAATTTTCAACTTTTTTTTTTTTTTTTTTTCGCTTTTTCCAAACCACGGTTTTGGTTGGGTGTACGTCCCGCGCACGCAATCCGAAGCCGGTCGAGCTTCGACCTTTGCCGGTATCCCGTCTGACTTGGGATTGGAACAACGTATCAAACTCGTTTCTTGTTTCTCCTCTCCTCTCCTCTCCTCTCCTCTCCTCTCCTCTCCTCTCCTCTCCTCTCCTGCTGCTTCTCTTCGCCATTTACGTCTTCCGCTCGTCTTCTCAGAGTCAAATCCTATTCAAACTCATTGAAGACAAAGAGGTAGGAAAAGCAGGAACGCGATTAAAGAACAGTGATTGATTGATTGATTAATGGATTGGTAGATTGATTGTTCGATCGACTGATTGATCGATCGATCGATGGATCGATTGGTTAGTTGATTGATTGATCGATCGAGTGGTTCATCGATTGATTGATTGATTGATTGATTGATTGATTGATTGATTGATTAGTTGACTGATTAGTTGATTGATTGATTGGCTGATTAATTGATCGATTGATTGATAGATACTGGCTAGCTGTGCGAGCGCACGATGTGCCAATCACTGCCGAACTTCGCGAAGAGGAGTTCATGGCGACAGCGGCTTTGCAGAATATGGCAGCCACCAACTTGGCTGCACTACGCCTAACCGATGTTAAGATTCTCGTTGGAGGACAGACAGGTCGACAAACAAACCACAGATATAGCTTGACAAGTAAATCCGATGTTTCGCACGATGAGTGAGTTGCTCATTGCATTGTTTCTGAGGCTCTGAGGTACGCCTGTGTGTATGTGTGTGCG